CTTGTGAAATCATACTCCTCTGATCTGATTATCCAGTTACCTATCATATTTAATAATAATTGTCTTCAGAGGATTTTTCACGATCTTGGTTAAGACATGATTCAAGGGTAATAATCCAGTAGCTTCTATACCGCTAATTATTTACCTGAACTGATACTGGATTGGAAAAACGGAGATGTGGTTAATTAATATCTCAGCTCTGTGGAGTGACAGATATCTTTCTTAAGTTGGCGCGTATCGACCCATCAAATATCCCTGAGTCGAGTTCTAGGGATTATCCTGTTCATTTACTTGAGGCATATTCGAATTATTGAGGCAGTTTACATTATTAGACCTGGATTAGAATATGGAGCAGTGACTATTTTACTGTCATTCTAAAACATTAATAACCAAAATAAATCTTTCTTGATTTCATCCTTAATCAGACTGTACCTTCCGAATAGTAAGATTCTCAACGAATCTCTAATTTGTCTTTTTGTTTTGTAAATAGTGTCATTCAACCGTGTTTAGCAAATACTTTTGGTTCTCAGCTATGTCAAAGTCTTTTATCATGCTTTACCGGCTTGTTCCTCTGCTTTCGATCGTTAGTGAGTATATTCCTTTTCTTCTGACTGATTGCTCCGGTCTACTAAATTTCTCGTCAAGTGTTTTGGTTCTACCACACAGTTTTTTTTCATATATCCATTGGCAGCTTGTTCTGCTGTAGTTTTCAGGTCTTTAATATATGAATGTTTAAAATGTGGGTTAAAAGTACAATACATGAACCTCCACATGGTTACTTGATTACATTATCTTTTTTATCAGTAAAGGGTTGTGGAGATTGGTGTATTTATTGAAATCATGAACCGATGCGAGTTAGATCTCATTCAAAAGCCTGAAATGATTGGCCGGTAGTTTCATCCTAGTAATGAACTTCTTAGCAGAGCTCATCCAAAACCTTGCACGCGGGAATTTATCCATTTGAAACTAAACTGTGTCGAGTCTGATGCAGTTAACCCATCGAATACAATGGAGAACGGTCGCGCAATGTCATTTGTGGATTGAATTTAGCTATTAATAACATTAGATGCCAACTTAAATGTATAGAGTCTGGGTGTTCATGTGCAAGGCCGTGTGCGGGTTTGTGGATGCTCATTATTGACTATTCTACTTTTTTTGTTCATTCGGTTTAGTCGGATTATACAAAAGCTGAATTATTTAAATTACAGTTTATTGATTTCCTATTTTCTGATAACTTCAACATAGCAAAGTCAGATCAATAAAATACTACATTGATTTTCATTGTAATTGTAATTCTTATCCTTCATGTAGAGATCTAGACTAATATCAATGGTTTTCTGACGATTACGCTCTAATTATAAACAGGTCAAAGGTCATTTGCATAAGTAAAATAGATTTTTCTGTATTTATATTTTTTGTCTTTTGTTAAAGCTGACTCATATAAACCGTCATTATTCAGGTCAATACATATAGACCAATTTAATTTATGTGGAAGTATGATATCAATAATAATAAGCTAAACATGGTTCAACTTTCTAGGTTTTGTATACCTTAGCTACATTTACAAATGTAAGTGAATGGAGTTCTTTTTTGTGGAATTTTCTGATCAATAATTTTCGGCTTTAATAACGAATATATAGATAAGTAATGGTATTTCTGACCATTTTACTGTTTCCATTATTCGGTAAATTTCACAAAATCACTCAAACTATTAAAAAATGAGCTAAGTAGTAGAAAGTCATATCAGTTTACTTTTACCCATAGTAAGTAACAGTGATACGTACATAAGGTCAGATAATGGAAGATATCTATTATTCAGACAATGCAAGAACTTGAATTATGAATCGTCATTTTATATAACTGCTGATTTTGTCATTCATTTCTTTGCATATGAATATAAATAAATTGTGCAAACTAAATTTCTACTAAGCATTGAGTCCCTAAATTTCTTATCACATGGGGATCTAGCTAACTTACTAGATTTTTCACACTCCCGTTATACTGTGGGTCGTAATGTGGTCACCACTACGAAAATTTAAACTATTATCTCACATAAGGGTAGAGCTTGTTGTCACTAAAGGTTTACAAAAGTTAGACTTTGGATAGCGTTAATAAGCACCGGGTATGTTACAGTGAAGACTGAAGCTTTCGTACAGATTACAATCTCGGAGATACGAAAAGGTTATAAACGTCTGATGATCTACTTAGTGGAGTTAGATAGTCTTTAATACAATCCCGGTGGTTGTATTCATGACAATCACATGTTTTATTTTATGCACCAAAATAATATCACAAGTATGTTTTGTGGTAAGAGACAAAGATATAATATAATTAAGATTCCTGCTTAAGTGTTTTCAACATTAGTAGTTTGTACTCCTCAGCTGTTCAAAGACCATTCAGTAAAAAGAATTCCTCAAATCAGTTACCAATACATCATTTTCAATTCGCAAAACGACTTGTAGTCATTGTGTTACTATGTGAAAAAACTTCCTGATTCAAATCTTTACTTAGTTATTATGCAAAATCATTCATGTGTAGGAGAAGCCTTAAAACATAAGCCGTGCATTTGAAGCTTCGAAGGATATTACGTTTGTAACATATTTTGAACTACTCACTAGTAGTATAAAACATAAATAATCTAAACTACAGTTACTAATACATGAGTAAGAAATCTGAGGCTCAATGATATGAGTAATTGTTACGTATAGTTTTATTATTTAATGTAATTGACCGCCTCCAGTACAATCGAATAGAATCTAAATACCACGCATTCTTTTCCGCAAGTTGTCTTTATTATGTTTTATTTTATGTTGTTACCAACATCTCAGTGGCTAATATTTCTAATGCATAACATATTTTTTACTCCTACTACATTTAAAATGCAATGAATTTAACATAAGCTTTATATGCACTTTACATCCCTCACCGTTATTTAAGTACTACAACTAGATGTGATTACTGGAAGTAATATTTTTTCCCAACTTTTAGGCACATAGATTATTACTAGCTTTTCCTTACAAAATAAATTTATGATCTTCTATACAATTAACAAAAATGCGGCCAGATACAAATTTGTATCGGAAGATGTATATCATTCTTGCTCTTATTTATCGTCGTTTATCAATTTTTGTTAAAACTAGTTAAGAAGTTAATACATTTATGGCGTGGGCGAGATATCCGTCTATCAACCAAAAGACGTGTTTACTGCGCATCAGTTCATTCCGTCCTACTATATGGCAGTGAAACATGGCCGGTAAGAGTAGAGGACATCCGTAGGTTATTAGTATTTGATCATAGGTGTCTTCGAAATATTGCTCGTATATCCTGGGACTATCGAGTAAGTAATGCAGTTGTTAGGAAACGGGTACTAGGTAAGGATGGCAAATCGATTGATGACGTAGTGAAACTTCATCAGTTGAGATGGCTGGGACATGTGTTTCGTATGCCCAACGACCGACTGCCTCGACGTGTGATGTTAAGTGGTATAGGAGTAGGTTGGAAGAAAGCTAGGGGCGGCCAGACCAAAACATGGCACAAGTCCATAAAGTCACTGACAAGTGGACTGTTTCATGTTGGTAGGTGTAGACTACCTGGTTGGGACCGCGAGATGATAGCAACCGATGGTTAGAGACCCTGAATGACATGGCTGAAAGACGTTTACAATAGCGCAGGTGCATCCACCCTTTGTGTTCTCCCAAATTCTTATCTTCTGGATTTTCCTTGTCTCTTTTTTCCTCTTTCCAAATTTATTTCACTGGATTGTACTCCTTGAGTAACATCTTCAAAGCCGAATGTTTCCGATTACTGCTTGTAGTCTTACTAGCTCTACCACTACGGGATTTAAATCGATAACTGCATCTCTGTGCTAATTTGCTATGGCAACTCGAACTGATGTACGTACGTACGAAGTTCTACCTTGTTACTGACTGACTGAATACATAATCCTGTTTTAGGTGTCTATCCGTAAAATCCTTCCCATTATCAACAGAAACTGGCACTTTATCCAGTACATTAATACCAGACGAATCGATTACGTAACTCTCTTGGTCTACTTTGAGAGTGAGATATGCGTAAACAGTTACTGCAATCATATTTTGAAAATTGATATTACGATCATTTACACGGAAACATAAGATTAGGTGAAAAACAGACTCATAAGTGTCATATCATCGGCTTGAAGCATGTTAAAATATTACTCTCATCCTAGGACAAGTAGGAAGGTATGATTCATTCGCCGGTAAAAACTACTCTCCCACAATATGAGACGTTAATTGCCTACAATTAACATGATATTTTACCATACCATGGTCACTACCTATTAAGCCTTAAGCGAGAAGAGACTGAGTAACGAATCTAAATTCTTGATTGCTTAAAATGAGTTATAGCACGTGAATAATTGAAGTGTAAATACAACTCCAGAACGTACCAACCAATTTTTTTCGACTGTCGAAAACTAGAGAGAAATGATGTATTTGTTGTGGTTCAGGTAATTACTTAGCATTATTAAAACCACACAACCGAGTTTCATCATAAGCAGAACTCTTGGTCATCTAGATTCTTGTACTCGATGGAAAAACATACTTTTTCGCATGTATTGTTTGACGGTACAAAAATCAAAAACAATTTAAACGATGTTCGGACCTTTATTTTATGAAAGTCGATTGTTGATAGGATTTTTAAAAACTAGGTCTAACACTCAATTGTTAGTTGAACGATCGATCATCAACAAGCCTGTGACACCTGATTATGTTTATTGTGTTTCTATTCTGTTTATAAGCATGCTATTTATTACATAAAAATTATTCTGCTGACTTTGATCAATGAACTTCTATACAACTACTAAACCTCTTACTCTAGTTTGCGGGATAAGGAAGAAGGGGATACAAGTAGTCTCGTTTACGGTATTGAAGTTGGAGTTGCAAAGAGTACCTTGGCGCGCGAGAATATCGAATTTTTAGTTAGCTAGCTACTTAAATGCTTCCAAAATTAAACTAATTATTAAATACCTTAGATTTATTCCCTTTAAAGTGGATCAAACGTATTTAAAGATAAACATTAGCAAGTTCAGTTTATTGAGAAATTTCATTTTAAATAAGATCAAAATATAAGGACCATGAAACTATTTAACAGATAAGAAAAGAATCTGAAACAACTCGGAAAGACTTGTTACTTATAATTATTAAGAATATTTTCAAGACATAATGTTTGATGGAATAGGGGAATTATCGAAAAAGAAGCTAGCTGATACAATTTGTTCATCAGGATTATTGGAGATGTGAGGTTTTGGATTTCTTGTTGTTCCCCATACCCAAATCCAATATAACGCCCCGATAATAAAAAATACAGCACCAAATTCAATTTTTATGGCTAATAACCATAATAACAGAGTAATAATGAATTGTACATACCATAAATTCCAAATGGTAGTAATTCTAGCTAATTTCTACACAAAAATACGTATAATCAAGAAAATTAATAAATTTAAGTAGTTGAATGGAATATCAAAGTACTTATCGATTCTATTAAAATATATTAAATATATAAAAGTAAGCAGTCAAAATTTGTGAGAAAAAAATGAGTTTACCAATCTGTTGTTAAATTTTTCGAAAATAGAAATAAACGGATGAATAATTTATTCGATCTTTATTTTGATAGAGGTGACTAACTGTAACTGGGAAATAAAACCTAGCATAAAACTTATTTATTATTTAAACACATAAACATTGGTACAAGGAGGCACCAAGTAGGTATGCGCCACAAAAATCATTCGATTTGTGTGAGAACTGGGATACTGCCAGGGTGCCCAGACCGAAGCAGGTGGTTTTCTTAGGGGGCCACACCCCGAGCATTTGACCTAAAGGTCTGACCCACAAGGCAGTGGAGCATCGTGAGGAGATGCAGTCCCATGGTAGCCAGTGACCAACGATTAGTTCATACGCCATTAGTGCCCGTAGAACACTGGAGCCCATGTGCACCATTGGTTTAGAATCCGGTTAAAGCGCCGGACATTCGCTTTTCGTCCTCTCACTTTCGTAAACAACACCCCTGCCACGAGAAGGCAGTGAGTAGGACTTCCCTGGCAGAGGCTGTATACGCGTGACCGTGTGAGAGCATTTCAAGAGGGAGGGCGGGCCCACCCTACTCTCGGCCATACCAGGGCATTTGGGGGCAGAATGAGTGAATGGTGATGGCCAAAATTTATGGTAATCTATTACGTCAATATTTCATCAGCAACACACATTTGTCAGAAGTTTTAAATTTTCTATGGATTCTATCACTAACCACAAACTACATATTTAGTATCACAGTTGCTTATAATCCGTTCATTCAACAGAAAAGTAAGCACGCCTTGTTAGTTATGAATTAAATACTTAAACGCTGACATTAATTGATAATAACGCTTCACTGAGTCATATAAATATGTAAATAGGATTAATATACATAAACAACTAAAAGTGGTATTCTAGTACAATATAATTATAATGTAAGCGAATCAGTCATTTTTTTGCCTCAAAGATTACTTGAATGCATCTTTTTTATACTGTTATGATTCAGAACATAAATTAAAAAGAAATATATTACTGTAGATGATTCTTTTACCACAGAACTTTTGGCAGGTTCTTGAAGCACATTTATGGTTGGAGGTTTTAACTGTGGAGTTACTGGATTTGTTAGACGATAAGCATCCAATTGAGCTTTAATTTCGAAGTAAGAACGTTGTTTAGGCTCAGGTACCATGTAATTAGTCTGAAAACATTTTATTAACAGATGCACGTTACTAGGTGGGCTAGGATATATATATATATATATATACCATGGCACAATACAGTACATTAGTCACTGTTATGAAACAAGCTTGAAACCAATGATGATTTACACTATTAAACCGAAAACGCCTTGAATAGTGTTGTTTTAAGGATCTTAAGAACCATATAGAATCAAAGTAACGGTCATTGATTTCCATTTACAGACCTTCAAACCACCTTACTAATTGATTATCAAATGTAGCTTACATTTTTTAGCGCTAAAACTGAGTCTTTAAAATCGTACGTATGCAAATGAGACAATTGATCCTCAAAATTTTCTAGTTAGTTAGAGACAGCAAAGACGAACCTAAGCTATAATTATGGAAACTTTACTATGGAAGATTTAACCATATATACAGATTTCGTCAGGATTCAAAAAGAACGTGAAGACGACAAATTCATTTCTCTATATGTCAGGATGAACGGCTAGTTTTTAAACATTAACCAAGTTTAAACAATCTCGGTTTGGGGATAGTCCAGGGCTTCTGCGTAGTTCATCAACAAAACATTCAACATTCCTTTCATTGGGAAATAGGGGAGAAAGCTGACCAGTAAATTTAGTTGTAACCATATTCGACTTATCCATGAGAAAAAAAGGTAATACATATCATGTTTAGCTCTTCGTAACTTCATTATTACAACCGAAACAGACTATAGGTCACCAGAAAATAATGTAATCAGCATCTAGTAGGAAACTCCTGTACAATTACTGACTAGGTTGTTGTGGTAATTTTCACTCAATGTGATTCTCCCAAAATTCAGATAAAATATACTTCGCAATCGTTCTCCAATTCAATTTAACTGATTGTAAAGGTCAATAGGTTTTCTTAAACCTTGAGTCGTAAGAAAGCAAACCCTGATATTACTAGGCTTCAATTAAGCGGTCAAAGGGACTGTCCGCACATAACAACTACACAACAAGAGTACAGCCAATTTGATTATGAGTGTCTAAAATGATAGAGGAAAACTAAGCAAAACCATGGGCGATTAGTTTGGGACGGTCTTCATTCATGAAACTGAACTTGATGAAAGACAAGGACCAGAACCAATATTACTAAGTCGATTACTCGCTGTAGACTTCAATTAGCAAGATGTTCCAAGGATAATAGGCTTAACACGAGTGCATGAGATACGCCCTAGAATTATGAGATTAATTGCGACATATATTGCTACCCCGTTCACTAGGATATTCAGTGTCATTCATCCAGTTACATGCAGAATGAGAGTCCAACTAATACTCCATTTCACAGGGCAGGATAAAGACAATTTCTCTTGAAGTGCCGACTCATCAATCTCACAAGTATCGTGGTTAAAATATCATAAGGAATGGACGAAAAGATTATTACTGAGGTGAAAACCAACACACTTGTTACACAATGAATGAAATGGCCTCAACAAAGGAACACCGCATACGACTAACCGAATAGTAAGACAGAGATGGACGGAGTTATCTAATGATAGAAAATAAATAAGTCATGTTTACGTTAACTTCAGTACATCATTTAATAAGGCACCACATAATAGACTTCTACTAAAACTTGGGAAACTCAGGAATTAGTGCAGCTCTGATAAATCGGATTCAGGTCTTCCTAGTGGTTCGTCGACTACAAGAATAGGACGTAAATGTTCTTCATAGAAACCAATACTTAGTGGAGTGGCCCAAGGCTTCCTAATAGGTATTTAACTTTTTATACTCCATGTGAATGGACTCCCAAGTATAATTAAGTTTCTAAAGCTACTTTGAGCTGATGGCATCAAAATCTGGAAAGAATTAAGAAAGGATGGAAGTGCATGTGGACTCCAGGCCGGACGAAATGCTCTAGTTAGCTGATCAAAATTATGGTCAGTGCCTATGAATACGAATAAGTGTCAACACATATATTAGACATATACAGACAAATAACGACAGCATCGAATACGTCTGTACTATAAGTCTAGTTTCGCAATGGTCTAGGGATAATAGTGGGCCACAATCTTAAACCACGGCTCGCTGCCGAGGTAAGAGCCAAACAGTTTAGAACCTATGGGCGTCAGTATTGATATTTACTGAGCTGGATACAAAGGTGTTCATCAGGATATACACAAATTTACTGAAATCCGAACCTGAGGACCGAGTTTAGGCTGCGAGCTCACTCAAAAGAATATTCGGGTATCTTAGAAACAATGCAAAGGAGTCATAAATTTAATAAATTCCGACTTTTCATGCACAATTACTTACTTATTTACGCCTGTTACTTCCAATGGAGCATAGGCTGCCGACCAGCATTCTCCAGCCCACTCTGTCCTGGGCCTTCTTTTCTAATTCCATTTCCCGGCGTAATGTGTTCTTTGGTCTTCCTCTCATCCTTTAGCCTTCAAGATTCCATGTGAGGGCTTGCCTTGTGACGCAGTTGGGTGCTTTCCTCAATGTGTCCTATCCACTTCCAGCGCTTCTTCCTGATTTCTTCTTCCACTCGAATCTGGTTTGTTCTCTCCCACAGTAGGTTGTTGCTAAGTGTCCGGTCAACGGATCCGAAGTATTTTGCGTAGACAACTGTTAATAAACACCTGTATCTTCTGGATGATAGCTTTCGTAGTTCTCCAGGTTTCCGCCCCATACAGTAGAACTGTCTTGACATTTGTATTGAAAATTCTGACCTAGGTGTTGGTTGCTTTGAGTTCCAGACGTTCCTCAGTTGTAAATATGCTGCTCTTGCTTTACCGATCCTCGCCTTCACATCTGCATCAGATCCACCATGTTCATCAATGATGATGCCCAGATATGTAAAGGTTTTTACATCTTCCAAATCTTCTCCGTCAATTGTGATTGGATTGGTGCATGCTGTGTTGTATCGGAGAACCTTGCTCTTCCCTTTGTGTATATTGAGACCTACTGCTGCTACACTAATCGTCTCCTGCATTTGTTGTTGCGTTTGGGATAGAAGGGCCAGATCATCTGCGAAGTCTAGATCGTCCAACTGCATCCTAGATGTCCATTGTATCCCGTGCTTCCCTTCAGATGTTGACGTCTTCATGATCCAGTCGATCACCATGAGAAAGAGAAAGGGTGAGAGTAAGCAACCTTTCATGCACAATTAAGCCAGATATATTGGACCTCTTTACTCTGTCTTGTCGCAGATTAAGTGGTGGTTCGAATTTGACGTATAGAACACAAATAAATGATTTCGGATGTGATCATTCCCCTATTTTAGTTTCTACTAGATAAGGGCAACTCAACTGTGGTTATGGACGGAATAGATGCTTTCGCCTGACAGACTTCCGTACCTAGTAGCAGTGGATCACTAATGCCATTAAGTAAGAACCTAGGTTTATTAACGACAAAAGAGGGAACAGAGAATAAGCAAATCACAACGGTACAGTCCTTAATCTTTAAGAATACATCGTTTCCTCTTAAAGGACTCCTGGGAAGTCACTTGAGCTAGCTCAGTCGGCAAGGAATTCCAGTATTTAACTACTCTTAAGGAGTAGGTGTGTGTACAGTTCGTTCTGCTGTGTTGAGTCTCCAGTTCCTGGGTGTTACCCCCACGGTTTGCGTTGAGACGAAGTTTAAGTGGATGTCCAGAAATGTTTAGTATACTATAAATCATAAGAAGGTCACATCTAAGACGCCTGTACTCTAATGGGTAGCGGTTCAGTGATTGATGGCGCTCTTCATAAGACTTATGAAGTCTTAAACTTCAGTCCCCGAACTTATTTCGTGGCTTGCAACTGGTTACGCTCCAGACTGTCTTTATTCTTTTGGAGTGAGGGAGGAAATACTATGTTTCTGTACTCGATGAAGCTATAATTTATGGACGAACCAATAAGATATAAGATAACAGGTGAGGGATTTGGGTGAGGAATTAATTCATTCATGTGACTAAACAGCGTCTTGGCGTTTTAACTGATGTTAATTCGTGATGAAAGCTAAATCTAGATCTTAACTCCAAGCAACCAATAAAGGGGAAAAAAAACGAAAAAGGAAAAATAAGGAGGACGAAGGCTTAAATAAAGGGGAAATTTCGTTTTTTGCCTTAATGTCAGTTATTTAAGGTAAATGTCAATTCTTCTTCCTTACGTCGTGTATTTAGGGGATATTTGTCGACAATTACACGTAACGCACTGTGTTTGAATTTGCCTCATCCCATACTTATATTTTATTAACGTCAACAAAATTATGCATCGCTTAATAAAAAAGCAAAGCTATTGCCGTAAACACAAGTAACAAAATACAAACACGGGGATTTGGTTGAGACACATATACACAGACTTCGTTTTTTGTTTAGCTAAATTGTTTCGACATGCTTGGTAGCCATCACAAATAACTAACGTGATGCAGGTGAGTGACGTGCTCTCTGTTCTTCATGCACATTATAACTAATTGCCTTGTTAGTCCAATACTATGAGTTCAAATAAAGTTACTGAGAGAGCTCGTAGACGTAGGGCCATTATTAACTTGTCAAGCGTCCTTGGCTGTCATAGATCAACTTATAACAGACGGTGAAATAAAATACGAACAGCTTTCATGAAAAGAACATAACTTGCTTTCGTTTGGTCGGTTTTTTAATGAAAGCTTAATCAAAAGTAGCTGACTTTAACAGTGGTGTATATTAATTGACAGCAGTCGATAGAGAAATTAATTGTGATGAGAATCCTTCAACTGTTACACCATCCACTAGCTACAGCAATCATAGGCTTCTAGGTAATAATGGCATGTATATGAAGTGAATACGTTAATATATTTCTTATAGGATGTAATGACGTTAATCTATGCTCCCAAAAGTCCGTAAATCGTAAAGAGCAGATCAACAATGTATTGATGAAGTTAATTACCAAAGGCTTTCTCAGCATCAGTGATGCTGGTCGAAATCTGAATAATTTCCGAGACCTGGTTCCGGACTTACCAAGGAGCATCAGGCGTGTCCTGAAGACATGCACAAATGTCCAACGACAGTTCATCAGCAGTGGGGTTTACTATCACGTCGGATTGAAAACCAATCTGTTAAGATATGTTGAACTTTGATTATGTACCTTTGATTTTGATACTTTAACTTTGCATAATAATGTAGATGGACTTTCTATGTCTAGGCGTTCTAATCAACATTTATGGCCTATATTAGGACGGATCATTGCCCCAAGTTTTAGTGACGTGTTCATGATAGGGATCTACGGATGGAATAGTAGACCAGCAGAATACAACGAATTTTCTAATGACACAATTTCTGAAATAGAAGAAATGACTGACGTGGGTCTGTTTAGTGCTAAGTTTATTAAATACATGCAAATTTATTTAAACATATGCCATTTTTCACGTAGAATGCGGTTTCAGTGTGGTGTGTTGTGGGAATAAAAGCGAACATAGGAGACCTTTGAGGTTATGCCAATGGTGTTCTGAAAGTTGTAGCAAAATTAGACAATTCGGTGTATATATAGGCAAAAAGTAGACAATTTAGCGATATTTGAGACACAGAGCGACAAAAAAGCAGAAGTCTTCATTATTTCCCCCGGACAGGCGAAAAAGCAGACATTTTCGCGCGTTTCCCATTTATTTCCGCTTTGTTGCTTGATTGAGTAACCACCAATTGTATATCATAATTGTAAATACTCATATTGCTTTATAGCCGACATTTAGTCATAATTAAAAGGTGAGTCACTTTAGAGTCGCTCAAAGGGCGTACACAAATTATATTCTCACCACACAGTCGCAGAAACTTACAAGACAATAATTAATATAAGTTATTACCCCTCAAAACACTAGTTTGAACCACTGGCATTGAAGAGCCTTATCAATATCCAATATCATTGCAGTGATCTAGATTCAAAACAGTGATTGAAGAGCGCTCGCTTCTTGTTGATTTGGTGGGGCTCAAACGTCCGATGATGTCCAGTGCTGGATTGTCTATCACCTTAACTCTATTCGACTCAGTCAGCTCTGAAGGTTTGGTAAGTTCGTATAAATTTTTATTTAAGTGTCTTTGTTTCTGTGAAGTAAAGTTTATGGAGCAAGTAAACATCACATGAACAAAAAAGAGGTTTTATTTAAAAGAAGAGGTTGGTTAGATAATGTTTGTGGAATAATAAAAGAGGAAATATTCGAATCCTGTACTTAAGGTTAATGAGATTGTTTTAAGAAATAATTAAATAATTTAATAACAATCTTAACAATATGATACGATCGAAGTGTACGAATCGTAGATAAGTTATGAGACATGGATCAAGCGCAAATAATCCAAGTGGGAGATGATAACGAGGATCACTTAAATTTATTGTTGTTAAAACCGCTTCACTTTCATCTGGTTTGGCAGAATGATTGACGATTTCACTGCTCGAATTACTGAATGATTTATTGCTATCACAGTCAGGTTGATTATTTTGTATACTATCTGAATTGTCAACAACTTGAGTATCCCGTACAGATTGTGGGACTTTAATTACATTTGACAAGTGATCACGTTCAAGAATTTGGTGATACTGACTTGGTTTGGCGTCGTCTCCCTATGATAAATATAATGGAGTTTGATGAGATGGACACTGCACATATATTATCATTAATATAACTAATAACAAGAAGGTTAAAGGGTTTGAAATTTATACTGATTTACAAGAAAATTTTGTAATGAATTAGAGGACTGCACTGACAAAACAGTGTACGACTTCACATAAAAGTACTGAAGTTCAAGATGCTGGCAATGGGTAGGGGTAAAATGAGAGAGAAAAATACAAACAAGGAATAAATAAACTATTCAGAATTCAAAAAAGTGATTAATGAACACGTCCGCCCTGTAGTGGTGAATTTTGTGAGCCGCCACTGACCTTTCTTATTTTAAAGAACCTCAGTTGGAAAGTATACGTAATTGATTTGTTAGGTTCTATGTTGCTTATGATTGACAAACTAACGTGCGCGGATACCATGAGGTGATTTGACCACACTTTTTTCAATCTACTAATATCAGTGGTTGTTAAACATTTGTAATACATATCACAGCCAGTACATTTGGCACAATAGTACAGTGAATGAGTTGGCTCATGTAACTGTAGCTCTGAATTTTGCCTCAACACTTCATATTCAGTTCAACTTATGGCATTGATGTTTGGAACATAGTTATGATCGGATACCTATAACTCTGCCGTCACATGTCTTCAATAAGGTAAATATTATACAACATTAAGGAAGAACAGATTACATTCCCATGCAATAAACTTTTGCTTCCTGACAATACCAACAATTAAGGTGTCAGCAGTTGCGAGTAATTTTTGTCTGTTGTGGAGTTTAAGTGAAATCGAGCAATCTATAACAAAACTGGTTGAGTACTCAGAATAACAGGGGAAAATAAATACTGGTGCAATAAATTATAATTTAGTGTTTCGAATAATGACTGTCAAACTAATTTACAAATACTTGATATTGTTTTATTTGAATCTTCCCATTGATGTTTTAGGACTGAAGTTGATCAGTCTCTTATTGGCATATGGAAATTAAGGCAATATCGAGGCATACGCACAGTATGCAACATTTTGACCCCTTGTCTTAACTTTTTTAAAAGGATTTTCTGATAAAATCTCCGATACATCAGGATCTTTATGTCTAAAGCGAAATATAACAATCAAGGTTAATTTTAAATACGGTTTAAAGAAAATAAAATTTTAAAAAGTAGTGACATGTAAAAAGATTTCAGTTCATATATTAAAAAGTTTATGAGAATGAACTTGTAGTGACTCACTTTTATCACGAGAACACGATTGGTTTATTAAAAACAATTATTATTATAACCAATTGTACCAGTGACTGTTTTAATGTGCTTTTGCTTAATTGTGCTAAAAAGCATCCATTATTCACACACTTTGATTGTGACTTCGCGCCGATTCGGTTACGTTCTGTAACCAAGCTTGTATCCTGGCACGATCTCGGTATCCTTCCGATACCACGAGATCGCCAGCAAATATATCTCGACTTGGTCCACTAACTGCCTTCTGATATTTGGCTTCCGGGGGATTTTATGGAGTCATTTGGCACGCGTTTCTTGGTAGCAGTGTTCATAGTCCATTACGACTCGACGCCACGCTACAAACTAATTTTCCAGTTACTGGAAACCTATCAGGAACTACATACGTATTTGTGTACCAGGTTATAAGTGTTAATCATCGGGCAGTAGCAAATAATGTTGCAAATGAGCCAGGCTACCCGCTTGCCGAGAAAATTGACGAATTAATTCATGAAGGAATATTAATGTTTAAGAGTTTTGTATATCGAGAACTATTTTTTAATGATTAAGTAGACAACCAAGTGAATCATGGATAGATTGACTATCAAAGAATACTACATGACCAAGTTGTGGCCGACGTTAAATACATCACATACAAAGGGGAATCTAACGAGACAAATTCAACAACGAAAATAATAAAAGCGTGAATATGAACGGATAATAATGAAATGTTTTTGAGGTATAAAGAGTTTTCACAGTTAGGTACTACGTAAGTAAAACGCTCAGATTCCACCACTACAAGACATCCAACCAGAAATTTCACACTGATCAAAAGAATACCACCATTGATCAATCTTCTACGTCAACCCAAACCACCATATTCCTTGGTGCAACACTAATCAACTGTACAAGTCAATCCTTAAAGCGCTGGTACCCACTTAGTCAAATGAAAAACACATGTCAAACACTTTTAGTTCCCTTTCTCCAAGTCATTTCGGAGAGTTATCCATAAGCGGTTTTATCCATTAAGAGTAGATTATGCATATACAGTTATTCGAAATGAGAACTTATAATATATGTCTCAAGGAAAAATTGAAGGCGGGAACAAAAGTTGAGAAATTTAAGATCAAACGCAACAATCAATATAAAGTATAATAACCTTAAATACCAAAAACGATAAACACTGGAGATATTGTCAGTAACGAAATAAGTTTAGCTTATAAGAATATAAGATTTGAACACCATAACATATTAGCGAAAACAGCCACACTTATTTTGAATACCTTGGGAGATCATTTACTTATCAAATTACTATGTCTGCTTTGAAAACTGTGTAACACATAGAGTGTTACCGATGAAATATATTAGGAAGCATGAATACATAGGATATTGAGATTCCATCACTGAATGGTCCAGTCCTTGGCACACGTTTACCTGGTGATC